AAATAAGACAAATTTGATCAGGTAGCCGATCACACTTTAACATAAAAAGATTGGTGGCGACTCCTTTAGTCTATCTCTATCTTTAGCAATTCGAACTGTGAAGTTTTCATGACATTGGTTGTATTTACTGAATACAAATGCATCCCCAGTCATATGGTCTAAAGCTCTTAAATCCACAATCCATGAATTTAATTTTTATAGTTTTACACTCAAGGCACTTAGAAAATTACCTTTTTGTGCTAAAGAACCTATTCCAATAACGCTAGTTCTGGGGTTAGAGATAATCTCTGATGCCAGACTCTTCCTTCTGCTGGCCATGCTAGATTTCGAGTGAAAAATTTCAAAGATTCAGATCGTGCTCTTATACCATGAAGAAATCTCTAGAATAAAACTATTTTATTCTTTTATATTTTTCTTATTACAATACTAGAATTGTATGAAAATATATAGGTTAAAGACTGAATATTCTCAGCCTTAAAACCTAAGATTTTCATGCATTAAAACAACTAATCAAATAAGTTATTTGCTCTCTAGACATAATAGAAAAATATCTAATGGATTTGGTGTAATTACTCAAATCACTCCTTATTCTAAAAATAAGAGATTTAACCAAAATAGATAAAGTGAATCAATCAATGTGAAAAAACTAAGAAATAAATTAGTGTGAAAACTGAATGTATATTGAAAAACTGCTTCTTAAGAATTATACATGAATCTTAGGTTTATATACAACTAACTATGGGTTAAACTAGAAAACTAAATCTTCTTAAAAAACTAATTCTATAATTGAGATATTATCTATCCTAATTTTTTGTCCTTAATTCTAGGGATACAAATACTTAATTCTAGAGATACAAATATAAATATACAGATTACAAGATTATAACTAGCTGTAACTAAGTGTTTTCCCACACTCCCCCTCAAGCTGTTGAATAGTGTTTTCCATTCCCAACTTGAAAATAATTTCTTGAAATGTTGCACTGTTGAGACCTTTAGTCAACACATCTGCAAGTTGACCTTTGGTTGATACATAAGGTGTACAAATCAACGCACTGTCTACTTTTTCCTTTATGAAATGCCGATCTATTTCAATGTGTTTTGTTCTGTCATGTTACGCAGGATTGTGTGCAATGCTTATTGCAGACTTGTTATCATAGTAGAGTCTCATTGGTCCATCCCACTTGATCTTCAAATCTTCTAGGATAATCTTTAACCATAGTAGTTCACAAATTCCTTGAGTCATTGCTCTGAACTCTGCTTCAGCACTTGATCTTACCACCACATTCTGTTTTTTACTCCTCCAAGTCACAAGATTACCACCTAAGAATGTGTAGTAGCCTGAGATGGATCTTCTATCAGTTACTGAACCTGCATAATCAGCATCTGTATATGCTTCTAGAACTAACCTCTAATTTTTTTTGAATAAAATACCTCTCTCAAGATTGGCCTTTAAATAGTGCAATATACGGTAGACAGCCTGTAGGTGCACTTCTTTAAGACTATGCATAAATTGACTTACTACACTGAGCATATGCTATATCAGGTTTAGTATGTGAGAGATAAATGAGTCTTCCAACTAATCTTTGGTACATCTCTCTATTTACAGCAGCATCTTCATTAGCTTATCTAATTTTATGATTAAGATCTATAGGGGTATTTACAGGTTTACATGCGAGTTTTCCTGTTTCCTTCAAAAGATCCATCACATATTTCTGTTGTGAGATGAAGATACCATGCTGTGAGTGAGCTACTTCAATTTCTAGGAAGTACTTCAATCTTTCTAGCTCTTTTATCTCAAATTCTCTAGTCAAACACTGTTTTAGAGATTCTTTCTCTTTTTCATCATCTTCAGTTATAATTATATCATCAACATACACTAATAGAACTGTGACTCTCTCTGAATCAGAGTGCTTAATAAACAATGTGTGATCTCTTTGACTCTGTTTATATCCCATTGCTAGCATCACTTTGGTAAATCTCCCGAACCAAGCCCTAGGAGACTGTTTAAGACCATATAAAGCCTTTTTTAGCCTGCATACTTTGTTTGCTTCTAGATGACCTCTAAATCCAGGTGGAACCTTCATATATATTTCTTCTTCCAAATCACCATGTAGAAAAGCATTCTTTACATCAAATTGTTGAAGCTGCCAATTGTAATTTACAGCCAACGATAACAAAATCCTAACTGTATTCATCTTGGCAACTGGAGCGAAGGTTTCCTGATAATCCACTCCATAAGTTTAAGTGTAGCCTTTAACCACTAACATGGCTTTATACCTTTCAACAGTACCATCTGTTTTATATTTTACAGTGAAAACCCATTTACACTCCATTGGATTTTTTCCTTTAGGCAACTCTACCAGTTTCCATGTTTGATTTTTCTCTAAGGCCTTCATTTTTATTTTCATGGTTTGCCTCCATTTCTCACTGGATAATGCTTCAGATAATGTAGTTTGAACAAAAATAGTGTTTAGGCTCACAAAAAAATTTTTATGGGATAGTGAGAATTTTTCAAATGACACAAAATTAGAGATTGGGTATAGTGGTTGATTAGTACATTCTCTGGTTCCTTTCCTAATGACAATAGGTAGATCATAATCATCAGTTCTAGTTTTAGGAGATTCATGCTCATTTTGAGAAACAGAGTCAAAAACTGTAGTTACCTCATTTTCAGAGTTAGGATCAGGTTCTTAGACTGGCACTGATTCAGGATCTGAAACTTTCCTTCTTGAGTACACCTGTAATTCCTTCATAGAATCAAAAATAATATTATCTTTTGTCACATCTTTTGTATTTGGAATGGGTTCAGACTCAAATTCAGTGTTTGACTTGAGCTCAACAGAAATAGATTTCGACTCAGAAGAATTAATGGATGTAAATGTTGAAGAATGGAACAAATCAAGCAAAAAGAAATTTTTATCCTTATCTTCCATGAATGAAGTCTCCCCCTGAAGATAAGATTGAGTAAAAAATGGTTTACTTTCTTCAAAAGTGACATTTGCAGACACAGAATTTTTCGGTAGAAGGATGATAGCACTTATATCTTTTTTGAGTTGAAAAATACCTCACAAAAATACACTTAATCACTCTTGGATCCAACTTTTCCCTGTTATGACTGTGAACCTGAACAAATGATGTACAACCAAATATCTTAGGTGTGAGATTGTTTGTGGTATTGAGGTTGGGATAAAATTGTGAGAGTAGTTCCATAGGAGTTTTAAATCTCAAAACTCTTGAAGGTAACCTATTTATAATGTGTGTGGCAATGAGAACAGCTTCCCTCCAGTAAGATTTAGGTACATTTGCTTGAAAAAAAAAAGCTCAAATTGTGGCTAGTAAATGACTGTTTTTCCTCTCTGTCACTCCATTCTGCTGTAGAGTATTAACACAAGATGACTCATGGATAATCTTCTCTTTTTGAAAATAGGTGGATAGACTTTGGTTGAAGTAATCTCTTGCATTATCAGACCTAAATCTCTTGATTCTCACTCCAAATTGATTTTGGATCATGTTTTGGAAGCTTAAAAATATACTATTCACATCTGATTTGAATTTAAGTAAAAAAAACCCAAGAGACCCTGGTACAATCATCTATGAATGAAACAAACCATTTCGCACCAAAAATATTAGGAATTGTAAATGGACCCCAAATGTCATTATGAATCAAGTAAAAGGGAGTAAAATTTCTTTTGTTACTGATTGAAAAAGACACGTCTATGCTTTGCAAGTTCGCAAATATCACAATGAAAATCTTCGACATTTAATCCTTTGAATAAAGAAGGAAACATGTTTCTCAAAGTTCCAAACGAAGGATGTCCAAGACAAAAATGATAAAGCCATATTTTGTCTTTATTGGAAGATTTTTCAGAAAGAAATGACAAAGGTAAACTATTATTGATATTACTTATGTTATTTAATGTCTCAAGATAGTATAGTCCATCCTTCTCTTTAGCAAGTCCAATCATCTTCCTCGAACTCTGATCCTGAAATTCACAATAAGAGGGATAAAAAGTTACTTTGTAATTCATATCTCTGGTAAGTTTTTGTATAGATATCAGATTAGTAGACAATCCAGGAACATGAAAAACATTTTTGAAAACAAACGAGGGATTAACTTGAACATCTCCTAATCTTGTCACTGTAGTAAGTGAACCATCTGCAACAACAATTTTCTTATTACTAGGACACAGGTTATATGTACTAAACTTTTGTAAGGAATGTGTCATATGGTCTGTGGCTCCTGAGTCAATGATCCAAGAACTCGTAATAGGCTTAGTCGAGACATTTAATCCATGAGAATCGGAAGCTTTATCTGAACTAGAAACCTTACCCAAAGAACATATCACAATAGGCTTTTCAAGGATTTTCAATAAGTTTTTCATTTTTTCAATCTCTTCCCTATCGAACTCTCCTTGTTTCTGAGACATCTGTAGTACTCCAGTGATTTTTTCAGTTGAGATTTCCTCAAATTGGGTGGTAGTGATATCTTTCTTTGAAAATGTTCGGCAATGAAGGCCTAAACAGAATTCGGCAATGAAGGTCTAAAATAGAAGTCAGCAATGAGGGCTAAAAATTTTACTTCCCAAGAAGAGCCTAAAGCTCTAATACCATGTGAAAAAACTAAGAAATAAATTAGTGTGAAAACTGAATGTATATTGAAAAGCTGCTTCTTAAGAATTATACAAGAATCTTAGGTTTATATACAACTAACTAGGGGTTAAACTAGGAAACTAAATCTTCCTAAAAAACTAATCTTATAATTGAGAGATTGTCTATCCTAATTTTTTGTCCTTAATTCTAGGGATACAAATATAAATATACAAATTACAAGATTACAACTAACTGTAAATAAGTGTTTTCCCACAATCAATGTACTAATGAAGATTAGATTTCAATAAGAATGATGTCAGACTTTAATTTAAATAGAAACAGCTACTAAGAATATCAACTGAAATTTGAATACTCAATTATTTAACTCCACTTAACTTCATTTGCTCATTGCCAGGATTGAAATCATGGGAATCAAACTGCCATTTCACGTCAAACAAAATTACTGAGAATTTTTTTTTCAAAACTAATAAATTATTGCACGCATTAGTTGCAAAATCTTTACCTTAGCCTTACCGACGATGAAATACCCTCTCTATTCAGGCTTGAGCTTGATATAAGAACTTCCATGTATTGTTGCCAATGCTGGTGGCTCCACATTAAACATGACAAAAAATATCATTTCTAGATCAAAATATTCTCAAGCAATCAAAAGTGAAAAAAAAAGTGAGATGCTGAGCAAATCACAATTACAACAGAGGAGGGGAGTATTGTGATGAAGAACAGGCAAATGAAGAGAGCCAAAGTACTTGGCACAAGTACTTGTTCTTGTTTTGCAGGAACAGCTGCTGAGTTAGTGAATACTTTCTGGATGAACAAAATTTTCCCAAAGGAAATTGTCAGTTAGCTTTTGGTAGTAGTAAATCAAATTATAGAATTAAAATATAAAGGTTGCAACCAAATTCCCTAAGAGCTTAGCATTCAGAAACTTATTTTCTAACCTTTAGCTCTTCATCTCTTTTAAGTTTTAACATGAAGAGTTCAAAATTGAAATTAGATGCATTAAATGCATAATGTTGGGAGCATCTTGTATAAATGCTTAGTCAAAACAGGCAGCTCTAGCTCATTTTAGAAATTATATAAAAGGTGAGGAAAATTTAATAATAGGAATAGGACCCATCAAAGGAAACTAGCAACCTGAATTATTAACATGTATAAAACCTTAACTGTTCTCCTTGTACTATTACAAAGTTTGATCACACAAGCTTGAAGACATGTCTTAACCTTAGATTCTTCAGAGATTCTAAACCATCCATCCTGATTTTGGGGCAACTTGTCTGTTCAAGATTTTTAAACATATTCCATGACAAACTGAGCATGAAAAACCAAATAGAAAGTCATTTTACACTCTACTGATAAAGCATGTGTTGTCTCTAAATTGTTTACCGAATAGAAAGACATAAATGGAGGCACACAGTCTTTGCACATTTGCCCAATCCATGACCATACAAGTGTGTGGCAGCAATTCACTAGTTTCTACGATCCACAGAAGAAGCAGAGGATCATAAGGGCATACCACATTTTGATTAGTTGATCAATCATTGTGCAGAATCAACTCACTGACCACTGATCCAACAGTGTTGAGTTATCCTGATTCACCACATGCACCACTTGCTTGACGCTATCTATTTGACTGATTCTACATTGTTTTGGTTGCAAGAACCTTCCGTTTAAAAAAGAGAAAACGTGTAAAGTTTAGTAAAAATCGAGTGTAAACTATTTTGGTGACAAATATGACCATAACAGTATATCAACCATGAATTCACATTGCAGTGGGGGTCTATGCGCTCAGACTCAAATGATATAATATAATAAGTCAACCAGGGATGAAAAAACCTTTCAGTGTCTTCCAAGCTGTCAGTTTCCATCATGTTTACGCCAGGAAATTGTCCCAACAGTTCATATCATGTTGGCCATGTAAAACAGGATAGCACAGAATTTCAACTGGCTCCACACTTGTAGCATATGATCATTTTTTAACACAGATGCCTAAAATACCATTTCGTTTCTGTCAGACCCCCTTTTCATTTCCAGAGCATTTTATTTTGTCAGTTAATGTAATTGTTCTTGTGCATGACCATTATCTCAGTAAGAAGGACCAAAAGGAAAATTAGGAATTAGTGATCCTACTGAATTAGGGGCTGATAACTTTCAAATTTGATTTAAAACCTAGAATCACCAAAACTACAGTAACATACACATAGTTGCTCTATAGTCTATACAAGTACGGATACGTACATAACTATGAAGGAAATGCCATCACCCCTTGACATAGAGCAAGCAAGGTTGAAACCAAACTGAAAACGCTGGTAAGAAATTGAAGTTTCAATCAAGAAAGAACAGATCAAAACTAACCTGCTAACCGGTTTCAAACTGATACCCTATCAGTTTCTTCTGACTTCTTAGAATTTTCATATGGCAGAGTTCTACACCTGCTTAGGCAGCGCTGTGTCAGCACCGACTCCATATTTTAATGCATTGTTTTCATTGTTCTGCCTCTTTCAGAGATTTTATCTCATTATAATCATCAGTTACTTCCTTACACCATTTTCCTTCATGTGTATTTGGCCCACCATCATATTCTTACTGTCCAGCCTGTTATATCATCAACTTAAAAGCAGCACGATAAATCTGCAAGCGGAAGACGACCATCACTTAATCATGGGAGCACTGCATCAAAAACTCAAGAAACCAGTACCTAAGCAGATCATATGTAATCATCATCATATTTCGATTTATTTTTTAAACATTATTGACATGTTTAGACAGAGGAAGGTTTCACAAGTATCATCATAATCTATACATGATGTTACAGTACATGGTCCAAGCATCTATATCTCTTGCACTTTTCTTTGAAGAGTGGAAGACATTAATTAAAGTATCATAATTATAGAAAGAAAATGAAGAGCCACGGATATCAAATGATAATACATCTCTATGGTATGCTCCTTCTACTGCATGCTCAATATATTTAATATGTTATTGTACTTTATGTAGAATTCATGAAATTTAGGGATAAAATTTCTCTGAAAACGATCTTGTAGAGACACAGAAGATATTGTCTTTACACAGGAATCGCAAAGAGCTGCCTTTTCCCATCTCCATGACTATTCATTTTCATTTTTGAAGGAAATCATAGTATTTAACAGTCACATGGTAATAAATTAGAACAAGCATTCACTAGTGAGCATGGAAGAGCAAAGTAATGTTAGACATTAGTTTCTCGATCACAGTTACTCAGTTAGGCAATCCAGCTGAAGCAAGAGTTGTCAAAGAATACTATGAAAATCAATCCACAGACGAGCTTTGCAAAATTAGAGGCTATAGGTAAGGAACCTCTACTAAAATGGAATCCACATATATTGATTGTAAATGAAAGGTTTTGCACCAGTAGTTGAGGGTACAGAATTTGCCACTCAACATCTATGATATTTGTACTCATTCATTAAAGATGGCTTTCTTACCTTTGTCTCTTAGTGGTAAATCCTTTCCTTGTTTTACAGCTCAGACATTTTCACAAAGTTGCTTGCAAGACACTTGTTTTTTTCAAGGCCAAAAGTAATGAACTTGATGGGGCCTGCAGAAAATACATATTATAAGGAAATGATGACATGACAGTGAATGTGTACGTGACTGACTAAGAATGAAAACAACTTCAACATTCCATAGAAAAGAGTGCTGGGATGTATTGAGATCACAAGCTATGAACTTTTGTTAATGGTCATTATTTGGCTATGCTCCCAAGTAGATAATGGACAATTGTCATTATTAATCACTGTGTAGAAGTAAAATCTTATTATGAGGGTTTAGTCATATACAGTGGCAAATTAACAGCACACTAAATGCAACTAGATTTATGAAACATTAAATGAGAAGAAATGTGTTGTTGATGAGTAAGATTTTACTCATACCAGTGGTGGTTCTAAGCTACCCGCACGCTTTCCATTTTCCAAAATGGTAAAATTAACTAGAATATCAGGGGCATCCAGTGGATTCAATTGGTAGCAGCAAACTGAAATTCTTTAAATGCAACTTCAACATTATTGTTATTTATTGAGTATGAAGATATTTATTTAAGTAAATTATCGTTTATTATATTGTCTATCACACAATTATCATTCAGTTAGAAAACCCAACACAGTGGCAGACCGACCAAGGAGCATCTGGCAGACTTACTTTTTGTATCCATAATGAGAAAAGATCTTCTTCTATTGTCATATTACCTTTTAACCGATTGAAATCCAACAAAATAGTCTCCGCAGCCCCCACTAGTAAAGCCAGTTTCTTCCACCAAACACCAAGTAAATCATTTATTGTAATAATGATAATAAATTCATCAACATCCTACGCAGAAAGGTCCATACAGATTTACATGTCAGAAAGGGTGGTAACATACAACATGGCAACTTCAAATCAATGATCTGGAACAGTTGAACATGGTTGATTGCATCTTAACTTTAAGATTTATCAGACATGTGAGTGATTCATATATGCCACCATAATAAAGATTATTAAGTGCAGCAGTCTGTGACAAATCATGCAAATTAAAAATAAAAAATAAAAAAGACAATGAAAAGAAAGAAAGGAAAAAGTCATAAATCCTGTTACCCGTCATGCACATGAACATGAGTGGATGGCTTATAGAATTTTGAGTTCCTGGTGTAGAGGACCCACTCTCCATTTGGTTACATGATGTGATCTTGACAATTAATAGCCAACACAAATCTTGTAATGATCTTTGTGTTTCTCTCCAGCCATCTTTATCTCAGATGATAGGAGGCTTCAAGGACCTAATTTATTTCACATTCATAAACAGTTCGTAATCAAATGGTTAAGTAGATCCCCACTCCACCCACCATCTGCAACAAGTGATCAAACTTGGTATTCGGAAGAGAGCAGAGATGAAGGTATACACTTTTTGCTTATGCCTCGTCAAAGTGATCTTCCTCACTTCTATGGGTTGAATTTTTCTCTTTTGGATGCAGTTACTAGGCTGGATGCACCGTAAGTTCCGCCAAAATAGCAATGAACCACTCAAGGATTTTGTCATTGGTAAGTTTCATCCTGCCATATAGCTTTTTCTACTGGGACATATATATGGCAGATGCAACTGAAAGGAAAGCTCTAATATCTTGACTCTTGTCATGAAAATTATGCAAATTGTAATGGCAATGCATGACTGATTATAGATGTGCACAAAAGGCTACAAAACTATCAAAGACCTGACAAGTGGTGCACATCTAGACTTTGTTTTTCATTTTAACATTTTCTGTGTCAGGGCATTCTTGTAATTGTCTTACAGGGCAGTCATCACTGGATGACCAACAATTCTACTCAAAGCCAAACTATGGTACCAAGCCATTCAGGCAAACTGGGAGAGACCATCTTCGAAAGTCTTTTGCTGGTGTAGAAGCAGCACGGGTAGAAGAAGAAGACTATGAAGAAGAATCATCATCAGCCATATCTGAGCTATTCCATGGCTTTCTTGCAATAGGCACCCTTGGTTCAGACCCTAACATTCCCGATCCATCAACACCAACATTTGCTATATCTGTAGAAAATATAACTGAAAAAGAAACAGAAGTAACAGAAAATGAGCTGAAGCTCATTAATGATGAGTTGGAGAAGGTTCTGGGAGCTGAAGCGAAAGAAGAAGGCTGCAATGACTCATCTGGAAGAAACAGTCATGTCAGCACTGGAAGAAGCAGTCATGGCAGCACAATTACACTTAGTGGAAAGCCAATGGAAGGTCCAGATACCAATGGGAATGGTACTACAGTTTGTCCACTAAAAGGTTATCTTTTTGGCTCAGCAATTGAATGGTCAGAAACAACTACAGTGGCAAAAAAGGAACATAGGACCTCACTTGGAGAGCTTTTTCAGAGGACTAAAATAACAGAGGAGAATTTTGGGAGTAAATATGACAAGGAGGACAAGCGAACAGAGAAGGAAGGAGATAAATCTGCAGTTCACATTATGAAAAAAATGCTGAAGAAGAAAATGCTCAATGCTTCTAGGAGCTCTACTACAGCTACGGGTGGAAATATTGATTCTGCTTCTGCAGAAACAAAACTGCACAAGGTACATCAAAAAAAAAACCAGACCAAACTTTTTCTTTGTCATGCCTTTTCAGGATCATTACAGAGTGATACATATGTCAGTTACAAAGAAATTTCAAAGTATAGAATCCAATAATTTTTATGCATGGCCATATGATCCTATGCGTAAACAATGAAAAATGCAGGCCAAGATAAAAAGCAACAAATTGAATGGTCTGCATATCAAGCATGTGTTAAAAGTAGTTCCTATTCTTTTTTCATTTTGCCCTTGCTTTCTTCTCTTTATCTTCTTTATTTCAAGATTGACAAATATTTAACAAAACAGGCCATGGACTTTGAGTTTTAATGAATGTGCTTAAGATTATGATGATGAAAAAGGTTGAGTTTCCTAATTCCCTGAAATGTGGTGTATAGATTTTACACATGTTCCACAGAAAAGTTCATCCTGAAAGCTCAACAGCAACATATAAACATGGCAAGCCCCAAAAGAATGAGAACAAGAAAGGCATCTGGTATGATGGAGGACATGAGAATGGAAGCCATATGCTTGCAGAGGAGGACATAATGATATTTCCTCAGAGAGCCCCTTCAAAGAACACGCGACGCTACAAGAGCCAATCTAACCCACCTCAATTCACACTTGGCTGCAATGATTCAAATGGGAACAGGGAGTTCTGGATCAAAACAGATGCAGATTGTAAGTGTACACGCATTTGACATTTTCAGAATCCATTAAGAAGTCATGGACTGCCTATAATTCAATGATAAAATCTCATCCTTGTCTAATTTTTTTTTCTTGATTTCTTTCCAAGAACATTTTATTTTTCAATAACTAGTTTCCTTAATTGAGATCCTAATATGGATGCTTATAGCCATGCAACAAAACCAAGTGGGCACTTAATTAGTTCTGCTGCCTAGTGATCCTTCTTACATTATGACTCTTCAGTAAGCATTAGTGTCCATGTGTCATCACATTTTTGACACATGGAATTGAAGACCAGAAGGCAGATGCAGCAGTCACTTGTTTGCTACTGTTGCACATATATGATATATACTGGTGTGACTATTTTGAGTTTTCAAAATAAATATCCTAATCCTGTAAAACGGCTTGTGTTTGTAGACCTGGTGTTGGAGCTCTAAAAGGTGGAAGCAACTTTCAAGTGTGGCTTTCCAATTATCATCCCCAGTTAGCATGAATGAAAATTGATGGTGTTTCCTGTGTTTATGAGATTCTCTATTGTTAGTAATTATTAAAATGGTATTTGAGAGTGGCTATTTTACTAAACAGCTTGAAATAAATAATGGAGGCCCTCCTCCTGAAACCTACATGTGGGAGTGCTTAATGTAAAATTCTAAGGCATTATTGTTTTCCTACCAAACATATATCAATTAGTATTGGAATTGAATTACTTCAATTTCTCCTTAATTATATAAGATCAACCAAAAACCATAACATCCTTGAAGCAAAACACATCATTTAACAACAGACAACCAGAAAGCTACAAACAAATGTGAACCAATCTGTTTTTAAGTTTTTCATAACATTTTCTACATGAAGTACCGCAAATTAGACCAATCCCAAAACAGTGTTGGAAAATGATGCAGTAAGAGTAGCTTGGAAAATGATGCAGTAAGAGTAGCTAGAAACACAGATTCTTTGTTTCTTTTTGCTTTTATACAAATTTGAGAGCTTGTTATAACTTTACAAAGAGAATGTAAAAAAATATTGTGGCTTCCAAAACTAGGGAAAAAAAAACAAAGCCTCAAAAAATGCATATACCCTTTGGTTGGCGACTGGTCAAGCACATTGTAACTATTCTAAATGCAGGGAATGTTACAAATAAAGAAAAAACAAAGGGAAACAAACAGAGGGCAGACCACACAAGTCTTTCAAATTATAAGTTGTTCAATGGCGGTTGCAGAATGAAATTCATTGAAGACGCCAATTAGAAACAGCCGATCTTATCCACAAAAATTCGGACTGTCTAAAGCAGTCACGCTTCTATTAAGTAGAAGAAATTTGCATATGTAATGCAATAATTCACAAAACATTACATGAAAGGAAAAAGGTGGGTTACCTCGAAAAAGGATTAAGTGAGTGGCCATTGTTTCTGCTTCGCTTCTTCTCTGTCTTGTTTCTTTGTCAGTTACTCATTTGTGGTAAAATGGTCAGTTTCCCATCAACTGAAAAATTCATGGAAGTTTCCTTTTTTAACCAAAAAAAGTTGGACATTGATCCAGAAGTCCGGATAAGGTCTGGAGGTCGAGAGTCAAGAGTCAAGACCGACTAGGGCACGGACCAGGATACCCCCGGCCTGGACGTCAACGACACCATTTCTAACTCTCGAGAATGTAACCTAGCCGACACCGAGTCGATCCAGTGCCAGACTTAAGAGTTTGGCTCGATTAAAAACTCGAGACTGAAAGTACAGCTCGATTTCGATCAACTTTGAATTCAGTTTTGATAATACGGTAGATTTTGCACTTAATCTCTTGACAACAACCGTAGCTGTTAATAGAAGTAGTGACCGTATGGATTCAACCGAAGGCGGGCGATCGAATTTATTGTGCTACCAGTTGAGTTCAAACACTAATTTCAGTTAATGCATTTAATGTAAATTTTTTATTATTTCTTTTTCAATGACGATATAATAGTTTTTTTTTATTATAGTTATAATGATTTTTGTTATTATTTTTAATTTTATCATAGTTAATTTCATCATTTATCAAAATAGATCTTTAGAATTCATATAAGTAAATAATGAAATTAATTTCGATGAGATTAAAATAATAATAAAATATTTATTTAAATATAAAAATAATGATAATGATGAAGTGAAAAAAAAAACAATTAAAAGATATTAAAATATAAATTATATTAATAAAAATTTTAAATTATTTAATATTTATAAAATTAATTAGAATTTTATTTAGTTATTAATTTATTATATAATAAATAAAATTTATTTATTATAATAAAGTAATAAACTTATTTTATAATTTTAAATAAAAAATTAAAGTATAAAAATATTTTGTCTTTATAATATAAAATAAAGGATAAAAAAAGAGAAAAAAATTGAAGCTTAATGCGTTTTTTCAACCGAAGCTAAATCCTCCAATGAAGAAAAGCAACAATCGTGCAGCAGCTTTGACATCCAAATGGATGTTAAACATCTGTGGACACAAATTTTGATGGCAATTGCATTTCACTGGAGGTGCAATTGAAACCAAATGAAACTTTAGACTTTTAATTTTGACATATTTCGATAATTTCAATTATAAAAAAAATTGATAACTTCATTTATAAAAAAAAAATAATATGTTAAATGTAAAAATTAAATCTTATCTTTCTATTATTTATTTTTATATTAAATATTAAAATATATTTATAAAATATAGTTATTTAATCTCACGTCTCATTCAAATCAAATGATCAAATTTTGAATTCATTTATTACTTAAATAATTCATATTCAACTAAATATTAAATAAAACTAATTTGGATTCAACTACAAATGGGGACAGTAAATAGGAATAAAAAGGCTCTGCCCCTTCTTTCCTTGATCATTCTCCTTCTCTTCTATATTTCTTTCATCCTCTAGTATCTTTTTCACCCTCATTCTCTTTTGAAACTTGGTATGTTTCTTTTATATTTATTTCCCTTATAATTGATATCAAAGACTTGTAATTAGTATCAAAGCCTTATAACAAACCTTGTATATCATAGATTGTATAAATCAGTGTTCAAATATATATATATATATTTTATTTGAGATCTCCATATCACAATTATTATTATAAGTTTTTTTTTACTTTCGCAACTTTTAATTTTAAGTTTTATGTTCTAAAATTAATATATCTGTTTACTATCTCATGTCAGTGTTGTAGTTTTCCTGTGACCTTTAAATCTAGCTTTGGAGATCTTTGTAAAATATACAAACAGTTTTAGGTTCTGGTAATATGAAGCAATATATTGAAAACTATGATTGTTAGAAAAACCTTATAATCATAGTTTGCATGTGGATCCTCAATTAAAAAATCATATACCGACAATCAACCATGGTGTTAATAGTTTAGTTGATTTATGGACTATTTTCTTTAAAAAATTATATAGTAAATGTGATATGCTAAAATCAAAAGTAAATAATTTAGGACAAGTTACTTGTTTAGATTTAAACCAAGATTCTAAACAATTATTAGTAAATATTAATAAAAAATTAAAATTATTAGAAGTTGATAAAGTCCAACAAATGACTTTGGACCTTTATATTATGATATTGTTATTCTTTCTCCTAATGATAATAAGCCATCATCTTCTTAACCAACTAAATTTTCTAAAGCAGAAAAATTAGATTTTAAATCCTATAAAAGTCTTATAGAACATTTTAAATATAAAATGAGAAAAACTATAGTTCCTAAAGAAAAGATTGATTATTTGAATATGATAGAAGAACTATAAAAAACACATATAAACTTTTTAAAAAAATTTAATTATTATTGTATGCTTAATTATGATATTACAAATGAAGATAGTTTAGAGGAAAAGGATAAAGAAAAAAAATAAAATTTTAACTACTAATCCAATAAAAAAAGATAAAACTAGTAGTACAAAATCCTTATCTTCTAAAAAAGTAGATAAAGAAATCGATACTAAGCCTATACCTATGGATCTTGATCAACAAAAGGTTGATAAAGAAAAAAAAAAGTAGGAGAAATTTCTAATAAAAAAATTGATGATAAAAATAGGTTTGAAAAAAAGACTGAAGATGATATTTATAAAGATAAAATTAAACAAACAAGAACATCTTCTGAAACTATTATGAAACCTGTACCACAATATAGTTTTATAAAATCTTTAAATAAAAGAATTTTAACTCAAGGAGGAATGTATTTAGATATTTCAAAAATATCTATAAATGACCATGAAAAAATCATAGAAGATTGAGCATAATCTATGACTATTATCGTAAATAACTATAAAAACACTTGGTCTAAAAAAAGTTTTTTAAATTATTTTTGTGAAACATTTCATTAAGATGTTTTGCAATTTTTGCAAAAATGGAAAAACTTCGAAATAGGAAAAGTTCTAAAAGAAACTTTTTAAATCAAATTACTACTATACCAAATTTGTTAAAAAATCTTACAAATCTATTAAAAAATGAATTTTGTATTAGAATGGAACCAGCTGATCAAAATAGTAAAGTTAATTATATATTGACTAAAATAAAATTATGTGATATAAGGCATTTAGAAGAATTTTCTAAAAAATATATTCATGATACCAAAAATTAGATGAATCACATTCAAAATTTTGGAAAGATCAATATTTTCATAAATTACCATCACCATGGAATGAACTCTGTAATCAATCATATCCCAAATATTTAGAATTTCACAACCTTACAGCATAAAATAAAGACTATTTAGATTCTATAAGAAATAGAATTTATTTTGCCTCTAAACAAATCATAAATATTGCCTTAAAGCAAAAGCTTCTAAGCAAGTAAAAAGTAAATTAATTGATAAACAATGCATAAAAATATTAGAAAATGAATTGGAATTTGGTTGTAAATCTCAATCTAAAACCTATTCAAAGAAATACAAAAGGAAAAGAAGATATAAATTGGTCAAATGAAAGCCAAAAAAGCATAAATTTGACAAAAAAATTGTTAAAAGAAAAACTTCTAAAATGAAATCCAAATGCAAATATTTTATTTGTGATGAAAAAGGCCATGTAGCATTTCAATGTCCTCAAAAAGAAAAAATGCTAAAAAAGTTATTAAAACTCTCAAAGAACAAGATCTAAAAAATTGTTTGGATAAAAAGTTTGAGGACGAAATTATTAATGAATTAATTTTTGAAACTATTCCAATGATGATAAGTATATTTTTATGCTTAATACAAGCAGCACTCTTAGTAATAATATTATATCAAAAGTTAATAATCAACATAATTTTGAAACTAAAAATATACCTACTAAAAAATAGCAAATGACAAAATTAAGTGATGTCTTAGGACAAGATGTTACTATTTCAAATGAATTGTTAGAAAAACTATAATCATTAAAGAAAAATGAAATCTATAAACTAATTGTCTTTTTGAAATTCAAACCATAGATAAAAAGACACAAAGAAAAATTCAATGGCAATACTATAGCTATTGATTCTAATTAAGGATCTGTCAATATTTCTTTATTTACTAAAAAAAAATTAGGAGATTAAGCAAAAATATCCTCAAGTTATATATATATATATATATATACATTTAGGAATAATTATGATAACTATAAAGGTTTTATTCAAAGTTGGTAATGATATACCAACAATAGCAGTACTGGTATATAAAATATTTGAAAATCCTATTAAAGCACTAATAGGAAGAATACAATCAAATCTTGTATCAGGTGCTATTTAGTT